TGCAAGCTTTCAGGATCAAAGTCCCTTTGTCAGGCTGTGGGAAAAGTATAGATGGTACAAGATGGTAAAAAGTCCCCATAGGAAATTAATGTGATCAGCACATCAAAGAGCTACTCAACACAGCTCACAAAGACACTCTTATGGACCCAGAGGGACAGACCATGGACCCAGAGGGACACACTTCCATCTTCAGCTCCATCTACACTTTTTCCAGAGCCTGATGAAGGGATTTTGATCCTGAAAGCTTGCAGAAAAGGACTATTTTCTTGCCATTTTCCAGTTGGTCTAATAAAAGGTATCATTTTGGAACCAAGAGTTCTCGTTTTTTGTATGTCTTTTTGTCTCAGACCAACACAGCTACCAAGTACACCCCAGCACAGCTATCACCTTCAGCAAAGTCTGTGACTATTCATAGATCAAAAATAGTAGTTTTGATGGTCAGTGGTATAGCAATTCTAATCCGTATCATTGTGGGATTGTCAAGAACCATGTATTCTGAAATAGCTGCCTAAAATGGGCCCACAGAATATTTGAATTTGCCTGTATGTACCTGTCTAAGTAGGAAGTTACCTGGTTTGTCCAGCAGTTGTCTATTTTGTATGCAGGTGCCTGCTGGCAGGTACAGATGCATATTTTGAAAATACAACTCAAACATGTCTCCCTTAAACATGCCCCGTATGTCTATTTTTATGTATCTGAGTTGTACTCTCTGTTTGGCAGCAGAGAGTTAGGATTCCTGGCATGGCAGGACTCTGCCACTCATCTTCTGTTACTATGCCCATTTAGCTGCCCCACATGAAATGTGAGTAGACTGCTTCTGTGATGATGCCAGCTCACTTGAGTGCTTAGTAGCAGGTTACTAGATGCAATAGCTTCAGTCATTTTTTGCACTTTCCAATTTAGGTCATGGCTGATGGAAGCACATCCGTATTCATCCCCAAAATTGACTCTGGTGAAGAAGAAAAATGTTTGGCAGCAGAAGCCACAGAAGGTGGCACTTCTACCACATCCAGTGAACATGTCCCTAGGTAAAATGAATATAGTTGATAGGCTTATTTTTTCTTTTTTATTAGTCAATTTTCATGCACTTGATGCCACCATTTTGAAATCTTTCATTATGTCATTATCATGTTTTTTCTTATTGACTATTTAGAAAATAATATGATTTTAATATAACCTTGAACTGATCAGATTTGTGTATGGGTGGTTGCTTAGGTTCTTCGTTGTTTATGCCGATGGTTCAGGGATTGAACTTCTTCAGAACAGTTATGTGGAAGAATACCTCTCTGAGGCATATGGTGATCCAGCTACAGCAGTTTTGCAAGAGCCAGTACAAGAATGTCCAGGTGAGGATATTCCATTTCATTTTTGTCAACTTAATACAAAGATTATTACATTAGTGAGGCCAGAATGCTCAAGACTCTTATGTGGACAGGAAAAATTATGGTGAGTTTATTCACTGTGCTCAGACTCCAAATATGCCACACAGCCACGATGGTGGTTGTAACTTGTTCCTGATAACAGTGTATATGTCCTCCTGGTCACATCTTGAAGTATTCTAGGAGTGTGAAAAACAAAATTTGTGGAAAGATTATGGGAAAGAGCCAGTCAACTAAGTGGACAGGTGATAAAAGGCTAAATAAATTAACATTGGTATACTTGTATCTTCATTTCTTCTAAGCATGAAAACAAAACCAACTGCTTAAATATTTATTGATTAGATTTATATGCCACCCTCCCCAAAAAATCCTCAGGATGGCTTACAATAAAAAGCCAAATAAATTATTAAGGTTTTAGTGTAGCCAAGATGGCCCAGGATATGTTGAGAGACTAGGCTTTTTTGTAATACCTTTTATTGGACCAACTGTATAGTTATGTCATGACAGGCCATGGGTGGCCAGGTCTGGGGGTCACTTCGGGGTCAAGAGAAGCCAGCAAATCAGGATCTAGGAGATCTGTCCAGGGAACTGAGTCAGGAATCCAGGGAGTCAGGCAGAGCAAGGTTAAAGGTCTAGCTGGGCTGAGTATTCAGGTGTCAGGCCAGAGCTGGGTCAGGTATCCAGAGGGTCAGGCAAAGATCAAGATCAGGAGAGTAGCCAGGTCAGGCATCCAAGGAATCCACCAGTCAGTAGTGGCACAAGCCAAGGGTGCTGCAGCCTAGATGCAATTTTAAACCCTGTTGTCCAGCCACTTCCTCTTCCAGGTCAGAAGTTTCTATTGGAAGGGGTGAGGGGTCTACTGACCCTGGCTGACCAGTTTGGTGGCAGGGAGTGGGCATGTGGCTAAGCCAAGCTGGAGGGTTCTAGCCATGTGTGTCCACCCCAGTGTTCTGTTGAGGAGATGTCAGACAAGGGTGAGTGTTTGTGCCAGGCAGGCTAAGGTCCTAGGTTCAAAGCCACAAACCTGACAAGTTGGGAGAGCTGTTAGATGAGATCTTGGGCATTGGGTGCCTTTCCTCAGGTCTAAGCTTGTCCAAGAGTTATCCCAATTATAAAGACATACAAATATTGAAATAACATGTAATAGAAAAAACTTCCCAGATGGAACTTAAACCTGCTTTCTGCAGGCTTGCTCAAATAAAAAGATCACACACTACTTTTTGGAAGATGTCTAGACTTGAGCTCTGACAGACCACAGGGAGAAGAAATTCTAGAGCTGAGAGACTACCAAGAAAAATCTCTCTTTTGTTCTTATCAAACAAACTTGGCTCACAGATGGCATCTACAGCAGGTTACTCTTGTCTGACCTTAGAGTTTGTAATGGAACCACATGAGTTCCTTAGGGTATGTAGAGCTCAGACCATTTAGGGTCTGATAGGTCAAAGCCAGCATCTTGAGTTGTGCTGGAAAGCTATTAGAAGCTAGTGCTAACTCTGTAGATCCTGGCAACCCACATCCTTCAGAATGCAGGCCAGATTGATGATCCAAAACATCAGGGACCAGTGCAAATTCCTAATTTGAGTTTGACTGGAAAGAAGACTTTCCAAAAAGATCTAAAAGTCCGCTCTTGAAAATTTGATACTTAAAATGCTTATAGTTTTTAAGAAAGGTGAAATGAATTAGAGGAACAATTACAGATCATTAATGGCATCCCAAATCATATTGACACTGTGATTTGACAGTGATGTATCCTTGAAGCTGGAATTGTAACCCCAGGTCTCCAACAAGCTGCTCAAAACAGTTTAATTTGTGCTGGATTGCTGGACTACACCTTCCTCAAGATGAGGCAATTTCTTTGCACTCCACAACATGCAAATTGAATGCAGTCCTGAAATACCTGGCAACTTGCAAATACAGCCTTTGGTTGGGCAAAATTTGGGAAAGCCTAATCCAATGTTGTCTCTCTCATAGTCCCATTATGATCCCTTACTATCTATAACAGGGCTGTCTAGCTGACAGCCTGGAAGCCACATGCAGCCCATGAGGGGTTAAGTTGCAGACCTCATCCTGCCACCTGTAGCAGCAACCAGCCTCTGGGTTCCCCCTTCCTTCTTTGGCTTCTTCTGTCTGCCCCCACCTGAGGGTGAGTGTACTGCATTATGGGAAGCAGAAAGTGACACTGGGGCTGTGTGGACACATAGTACAGCAGTATGGCTATAGGGAGCGGGGAGCTGCTTACATGGATGTGGGGTGTAGCAGGTTGTACCCTTGTGGTATGCTGCCCAGGGGGCCTCTGCTGCAGCCTGTGTATGGCCTCCATGGGTGTTGTCCAGGGCAGGAGGCCCCCAATGGTGCAGCTTATAGGGTGTGCAGCCCCCTAGAAGTTGGATAGCCCTGAATGATAACAGTAGTATCACATTCTCAGCTGCATAAAATGTGAGCATTTACATTTGCATCAGCTTTTCCATCAGAGGATTCCAAAACATTTCAAAACTGGTGAACAAGTGTTTTGCATGCAGATGGTTTTTACTGAAATGTTTTTTTGAAGCAGGTGTTCTTAGTGTCACTGTCCTCCGACCTTTCACTGAAGCCTCTGTCTGGTTAACGAAGAAAGAATCCACCAGTATTGTTCCTCCAAACCTACAGTCAAGAAACTGGGATACATTTCCTCCTTTTGAGGTACAAATATTTCAGAAGGCTATATTGCTGTTTGATGTTCCTTTATTAAATTTTCATAGTTATTACTTATACTCATCACTTAGAGATTCATCTGTTATATAAATCTTGAAGGCAACATTATGAATATTTAATCTGACCTCCTGGATCACATCACTGTCAGATTCAACTGAAGAATTGCCAAGCACTTTAGAAACTTGAATCAAACATCTGTGCAAGGTAGTTAAGTATTACTCCTAAAATCCAGTTGGAAAATGGAAGGACAAAGATTAGTGAGTTTAGGTCACATGGTGAGTTCATACCTCACCCAGAAACAAAAACTCCACTCTTACCAAAGCCCATGCTTCAGCTACAAAATCATGCATTCTCCTCAGCACCATCAAGAAAGTATCCTCTTTAGAAAAAACTGATTACACGAGCAAGTGTAAAAAGTGCCACCTTGGAATACATTGTACATTAATTCTTCTGGTTAAAATTTTAGCAAAATCAAATCAGGATCTAAATGTTTATAGTAATTCCCATATTTTTAAATGAAAAATGTGGGATGCTGACACTAGTGAATTTATGAGCTGTCAGTATTTGGCTTCAACACATCTCTGCCTTTCAACGTAACAACAGCCTAGGCACTTGGTAAAACTATAGATCTCAGGGTAAGAAACAACTTTGCCTTCAGCTTCTGAATATATTTAGGTTTACAGTATAATTTCAAATCTATAGATAGTAGGCTTTTTGCATGAGGAGATGAACTCACACACACACACACACACACAGAGACAGTAGCTCCCTGCAGGTAAGTCTAATAGGGATAGGGGTGGGGAGCTAGACAGACCATAGGTTGCTCATGGGGGAACAGGGGGAGGGGGAGGAGGGCTGCCTCAGAGTAATCAAGAGTGGGGAGGTCCTGTGAGGGGAAAGTGTGTGTCTGGGGGGCGGGGGAACGCATCCGTGTTCATGGCAGGAAGAGAGTGTGTTTGTGTCTGTCGATGTGCAGAGAGTGAGTGAGAGTAGAGTGTGTGCGCACCTGTGTCTGTGCGTGCATGTGTGTACTTTTGGCCATGACAGGAGCGGGGGGGGGGGGGGGGGGG